TGAAAATTACATGAATATGACATTGGGCAAAAGCATGAAGCGCAGCATAATTTGAAATCACGAGTTTGAAGTTTGTCGATCGCGTGTCTCGATGAAGCTGAACCGTATTCAATTCACACAGACCGACCGTCACGCAGAGTACACGCAATCGTGCAGGATACAAATGCACACTTCACAAGATCTCACGGCTGGATTCGACTAAGTTTGCAAGGTTTTTGAAATTAGATGTTCATTAGTCATTCAAAGATTTGTTTAAATTATATAAATGCGTATTTGCTGAATGCTGACGGCAAACGCGCTGCCGTTCTCAGCCCCGTCAAAAAAAACGTCCCGCCACGAACGCATCAGCCAAACAGAAAAACTTATCGGCCGATGCCGATATTTGAAAAATGCCAAATATCGGCCGATATATCGGCCTTGGCGATATATCGGTCGACCACTACCTAAATGGTACATATTAGTAACTTCTGAAAGGTTAACACCTCAGCGACTGATATTGTGCCTTTTTCCTGAGAGTAAATAAATTAGCCAACACATCAAAAAAAAAGACAGTTTAATTACATTTTATTTCTACAATTACTGAACAAGTACTTATTTAATTTAAAGGGGACATAACACATAACACACACAGTTTCACCCAATCTCATGTTAATCTTGAGTACCTATAGAGTAGTACTGCATCCTTCATATCTCCAAAAAGTCTTTAGTTTTATCATATTTATAAAAGAAAGATAAAGCTTTACGATTCTCTCCGGAAAAAGCCGAGCTCCTGGAGCCGCGCCGTGGGCGGAGGTTTACATAATGTTGGGTTCTTTAGGAAGCTGAACAAAGTTATCTTTCCCTTACAAACAAAAACACACTTCTTTAGAGACATTCTTCCCGAGCGAGTCCCGTGCTCTTGCTCTCGCTCTGGTCGATGCGTGCGCGGGCGTGCTCTTCCGGGAGAAATGCCCATATAAGGAGTTCCACCCTCGTCTATGTCATGAAGAGCCAGGATCGAAAAAAACTTTCTGAAACTTGTACGAACCCGGAAATAAGATTTTTAGCACAGAAACACTCTGTCATCCGTCATTGTTTTTTTAAATTTTGTTCATGCTTGGCATGAGAATCCAACTCTTTAACAGTGTAAACAACTCTGAATGCATGAAACAGCATTGTACCCCCCCTTTAAAACATATAAAAGGCAACATACCGAAATATTAAAACAGTGTTCTGGCTATCAAAAAAAAAAAAAAGTAAATTGCATAATAAAAGTAACACATTTAACAATTTGCACCAATGTGACGTTTACAAAAATTACTTTTGTCCTGAGAACACAGTTCAAGCTTTCTGTTTAAACCTTCCATTAAGCCTCTATCTGCATAAAGTTAGAGTAAGATTAAACCATTTCAGTCTATGTGGTAGAAGATATCTAGGCTATACATATGCAGAACAGGTTTGAATGACAAAAAAATTGTACTTGAAAATCTTCCTTAAATATTTAGTTGACCCTTTCCCATGGCAGGATTATAGTCCTATGAGGACCCTGTATACCTGTATTTGGAGGCCCCCTTCACCTCTAACAGCCCCCATAGCAGATGCCATCCTGCTTTAAGCAGCAATTGTAATTTGTATAAAACAATAAGGAAATGTGTGCTGTTGTAGGCTGACATCTGAAGACTAAAAACAACCAGTGGCTGGTCAGCTTGCATGCAGTACCTGTTCAAGTGATCTATAGCTCATGCTAGGCAGAGGCGGCTCTAGTGGGTAACATGCACTGCATGTCTTGGGGGCCACTGACAATCAGAGGCCCCTGTTGCTCATTCGAATATCCAGTCCTGGTCTGGTCAGTGTAGGTTTATCAAGTTCACTTGATAACCAACAGTTATAGTTCTTGTTCTTGGAGAGAAAAACTATGAAATGCAACCGTAAACAAATAGTTCACTCAAAAAGGAAAATTTGCTGAAAATGTGCACACCCTCAGGCCAAGATGTAGATGAGTTTTTTTGTTCATTTGAACAGATTTGGAGAAATTTAACATTACATCACTTGCTCACCAATGGATCCTTTGCAGTGAATGGGTGCCGTCAGAATGAGAGTCCAAACAGCTGATAAAAACATCACAATAATCTACAAGTAACTGAAATGACTCCAGTCCATCAATTAATGTATTGTGAAGTGAAAAGCTGTGTGTTTGTAAGAAACAAATCCATCATTAAGGCGTTTTAACTTTAAATTGTCGCTTCTGGCCAAAATACGCAGCCATACTAATGTTTCTTGCTTGATCTGTGCATATTTCTCCCCTGATTTGGACTATATTTATTTATAGAAACCCAACAAGCATACAGTAAGTCCAAAACTGGCTACAGACCAGTATTTGATGGTCAAACATAATCAAACCAAAATTAGCCAAAATTACAATAAAATAAAATAATAATAAAACAATATGAAAAAATAAAAAGTTATTATCAATCACAAAATTATTTTAAAACAGCAAACATACCAAAAAAAATGTATATGATATGATGACAGAATTAATTATTCCAGTTTAAAGAAGGTTTTGGGCATCTGAAACCAAAATACAAAACCACTGACAGAGAAAACACACACATAGACCTAGTGACAACTAGCCCCATTCTGCAGTATTCTGAAGCTGAGCATAACTAGGAAAAATATATATTCATAGCCTGCAGAAATTCCCACAACTTTTTAAGGTATGGAAATCACGATTACACAATTCCGCGTAGGTTTTCCATCAACGTGGGCTCCGTGTAAGCAGTGCATCCAGAGAGACACAGAGGCAGACTTCATCAGCACCGGGCGAGCAGAACCACACCCACAGCACCAGCCATCACAGACCCACTGCAGCTCAACATCTCCGAGCATCAAACCCCAGCACGACACATCAAACAAACCGCCGGGTGATTGACAGCCGAACGATGAAAGAGAATCGACACACATCATGCGTGTTCTATCTGGAACTACACCGTTTACAAAGCATCACGAGGACAGCTGTCACTGTGACATTACCGAACCAACTGCTATCAAATATGGTTATGATGATGAAAGGGATGAGCGCCGGTGTTACACCGGTATAGGATCAATAACTCTCTCCGGTGAAAGTGATGAGACAGCCAAATTCATTCATTACGCGCATACAGTCATTCGCATTAAATTATTCACTTATTTTATAACAATGAAATACCACATAGCAGTGTGTATGCTGGCGAATCAAATGGAACCGTGCAGTGATCCCGGTTATAAATGAACAATTGTTCGTATGATCCCCAGTAACTTACCGTGAGCGTCTCAGGTGTCCGCGGTCCAGCAGGCCGAAAATGTGTCCTTAATTCCGCTCTGTCCGGAGAAACACGGCATCTCGCAGCAGTTGCGGAAGTGTAGGTGAGGGTGAGGTGTGTTGATGCTGTTACAGGGGTCTCCACTACACACACATGCAAGAGAAATCCGACGGCGAATTTTCGAATCCTACTACTGTGGAGGTCTTCATGAGCAGCGCTCTCGCTATTGGAAGGGAGCGATGCAGCGTCAACAGTTTATAATGAATATATATAAGGCAAGCAATAGGAATTGGAATGTATAAACAAACGTCAGCTTTACATAACTAATATTCATAAACTAAGCCTTGGAGCTGTAATTTAACAGACCACCTCCACGCCCACAGTGAAGAACGTCATTCAAAACTCCTCAGCAAAGCCTCACTATCAGATACAAATGATAGTGCTGTATTTCATTATTTTATGTTAATTGTAACTTAAACTGTAATCGCTATACATTTTGTGTATTGTGATGTGGATACCCTAGGTTTATTGTTTTTCAGTAATGATAATAATAGTAGTTATTATTAATAATAATAACAATAATAATGAAAAATAAAAATACATAAAATCAAGTCTAAAAATTGAAATAAAATTTAACTCTAATATAAAAATGTATAATTTATTGATTTATTATATATATATATATATAGAGAGAGAGAGAGAGAGAGAGAGTTATTCAATAAATGTTATTAAACAAACAAACAAACAAAACAAACACACTTATTATAAGAGACAACTTACAATAACAGTTCTTTCTGATATTGGTTGTTTCAAATAAGTTCCCAACTGATTAACTCAGGTAATAAGTCATAAAAGTATAAGGAGAGAGGAAAATGTGATTTCAGCATGAATTAATGAAATAGTTATAGTGCAGGCAAAGCACCACCAACCGCTGCCATGTAAGGAGGAGGGAGGAGCGTGGGGTTGACAGTGGGTCTTTGCTGAGTGAAGTGGAAAATCAACCTCAGCCTCAGAAACATCACTAAAATGCCATCATTCTGACCTAGATTTCCTTGTCTGCTTGCCTCTCGGTCTCTCCTTGTATACGTATGTTGAAGTGCAGTTAAACACAGACATTACAGCATGCATGATTAACACCATATGCGGGCACTACCTCAGGCCCAACTCTCTCTCTCTCTCTCTCTCTCTCTGTCTCTCTCTCTCTGGATTTTTGTCTTTTCACTTCTTGGATTGGAGGATAAAATAATGAAAGTATGACAAGAAAAAAAATGTATCTTCAAAAAAATTTTTTTTCTATTATCTGGCAAGAACAGTAATCTCGCAAATGGGTGAGAGACAGATGCAACACAACATGTACAATTAAATTATCATATTTTCTAGAGTCCTACATCTCAGTATTTGTGCCCTTGATATTGTATACACAGAAGTCTCAGATAAACTCTTTTTAAAATTTCTTCTAAAATGCACTTATAATGCACTTATAGCACAAAATCATGTTATTGTTACTGCATTGTTACTATTGTTACTGCTACTGGTTTAGGTAAGTATATTTCTGATGCTAAAATGTTTTAGTAAGCACTCATACTATGTATTTTAAAAACACAGTTTGGTTTATACACAGAGAAATAAACTCTTCATCACCATTACTTTTAGATTGGCCAGTCAACAGTATTCATAAAATGGGGTGACTTACACAGATTTATTAATTTTGCTTAGTTCACAGACCTATACTCCATTTAGAGTCATTAAAGGGCATTTTACTAATTTATTTATATCCATGCAGATTTTTAAAATCATATTAATGGAGAGACTACATGCATGTACTTTAAAAAATAATAATTTAAGTAAATAAAAATGGTCAAATTTGTGAAAGAAATGTTATTTTCCTCATACATGATTAAAGTTGTGGTGGGAAAAAAACTCAGTGTGTGAAACTCATAACAAGCTCATTATCTTAAACTTGCTATAAGCTGTATTACTCAACGAAGCTTGTAAAGTGTGTGTGTGTGTGTGTGTGTGTGTGTGTGTGTGTGTATGAACCTTCTGATCAGTTAAACCCTGGTACAAAGTCCAACTCGAATGAGGCATGACTGATCGCTTTTCATTGTCCCTGTTGGTGAACTTGAACACAGTAATGCTTGCCCATGAATGTTAGATCGAAAACTACAGAAAACCCAAGCGAAAAAACTAATTCCCTTTTCTGATCATCATGCCATCTCAGATGCCATTATTTTCTCTTCTTCTTTTTTAAAAGACAGGTGGGAATCTCAAATTCATGCACCATGTCTTCACACTTCACTGGTTGATATGACACTTGAAAGAGAGTAAGTAAAGAGTACTAAGAAATATACGACCCTGGAAATGTGGTGAGTAAATGTGTCTTAGTTGTGCATCATATACAAGGGAAAGCAATCATATAAGAGAAGAGCTGCTCTGGATTGTCTGTTCAATAATGCAGCAAGCTCTGTTCCCATGGTTACAGCACGCATTCCTCATTAGCTGAAGATCATGCACTGCACACACTCACATACTAAACACTATGCTCACAAACAGCCCTCAGTTTAACATGTTTAACTCCTGTCCCTGTTTGTTGCTTGTTGTGATAAAATCAGATCAAATTAAAAAGTATGGATTCTGATGCATTTTTGCTTTACATGATGCATGGAGTAATAATTCCAAGCAGTTTTACGAATTTACAATTATAAACATTTGAAGCAAGGGCCATTATATGTCATTATGATCTGTAAAACAAAGTGAATTAGCCAGCTTTGTTTAAATGAAGGATTGCAGAAATGGGTACACCCTTGATTAAATTCAATAAACGTGTAATATTTTAAAATTTCAGTCCATAATATGTCCTCCATAACTTTAAGTATACTGCTCTGACCTCTCTTTGCATTGAGTGTAAGTTAGTGACAAATTGTCACATCTATCCTGTTTAACTCTGAGATCCTTAAAATGGGGAGTGTTGCTCAATTTGTCTACAAAATCCCCCACAGGTCCCCAAGAGTGTTAAGTTGGGTGAAATACTTCTCCACGTACAGAAGATTTTTAACATTGGGAAAATGTATAATCATTGTCATGTTGAAGGAAAACAGGGAGACAGGCACTTCTCACTGTACTCCTCCCCTAGCAAGTCCATTGTTTTTTAATCTCTGTGTTACTTTTGCTATATTTTCATATTTGGTATTCCTCTTGTACCACTGTCCACTTTGTGCAAAGAAAAAAATCTCAATGACAGTTATCTCTCAAGTGGTTCCATTGTTGTCAGCAATATGCCTGAGAAGGATTCCATGGGCTACACTGTAAAAAATGACCGTGAATTTAACGGTAAAAGACTGTAAAAATGCTACAGTAAAAACCTGTTAAATGGTTAACGGTAAATTCCCCTACTATATACGGTGAAAAACTGTATTGGACATTACATGTATTGGACATTAATTTTACGGTAGTATACCGTTTTTGGAAGTGAAAAATACCGTATAATTTACAGTGAATAACCGTAAATTGACATTCCCAGAATTCCCTGCGTTACATTTCAAATTTGATGTTTTTTTGTTGAAATAACTATGTTTCTTCTTAGTTTTTTCTTATCAGTTATGTATATTAGGGTTGTGTGTTACACCTAATGTTGTTAAATTAATGTTTATTGCATTATTTCAGTTTCATGTGTTACCATGATTGTGTTTAGTGTTTGTGTGAATGACACTGTGCACCTTCTATACGTGTTATTATTTAAAAGCTGCTTGTGCTGGGCTTTGGTTCATCATGTGACTTTCTCATCAGCACCTGCTTTTGGTGGTTATCAGTGTATTACAAAGGTACAAAACAGATTTCAGTACTTCAATAGGTTGGTATATTAACATTATATCAGTTAATGAAATTACGGTATTTAACTGTAAATTTAAGTTAAAACCGTAAAACCTAAAACGTTGCTACCGTATTTTTTACGGTAAAATTCCGGCAACCACAGCTTTTTTTCACAGTGTATGTGACACTTTTAATTGTCAAGAAAATGGCAAAGAATAACATACTAACTGTTGATCAAAAATTGCCTTTAACTTGCACTGAACATTTTTTATTTAGTTATTTTTTATAACTTTCAGGAGGGTGTACTCATTTTGCAACATCTTATCTTATTTTCCTGAGTAATTTTGATACGATTATTTTGAAATCGATCAAGCAAAACTTGCTGGAACATTATATCTCAAAGGACCCTAGTCTTATAGGTAAAATTTAATTGCTGAATTTGTTGTTTCAGAATGGGTGTCATTTATTCTGAGTCTTGTAAATAGTATTGGTTGTCCTACCTGCCTCAAGCTTATTTATATCTCGGTAATCTCAACATTTTTTAATTATCAATTGATAATTTTGCTGTATTTGGATATAACAAGTGCCTCAATCTTCTTGTTCTAGTGCGGAAACTCAACTGCGCGGTTGAGGTCCTGGTTGGATATTCAGGGTTTTGATCCCTACAGTCAGCTATGAATGTGTCAGACTCGTGCCAGGACCAGCTGGGATGTAACTTAGTTTTGTCAAGAAGGATGTTCATCCAGTCATCTACTAATGGCTGAATGGCAGCTCTACCTTCATGTTTTCCTACCTGCTGGACAGACTACAACTCTTCCTTTTCCCATTTAACGCGGTTCAATAAACACCATTCTTCATTTAGGCCAGAGGAGAACTGGTCCCCCGACTGAGCCTGGCTTCTCCCAAGGTTTTTTTCTCCATTTGTGTCACCGGATGGAGTTTGGGTTTCTTGCCACTGTCGCCTTCTGGCTTGCTTAGTAGGGGTCTGAAAGACATGTAACTTTCAGTAATTTATCAACATGACCATAATGATTGACACCATTGGAAGAGAACTAATTTGAACTGAAATAAGCCAGATGATGGCACTATTGTTTTCTGTAGGGCTGCATTACAGGTGAATGACATCTTGCAACATCGACATTGGTATTGAACTGAAATGAATCAACACCGAACTGACTCAAGCTGAATAACAACATTGCTGCCTGTTGTAGAACTGTCAATAGCTGATCAATTAACTCCACACTGTTGTTGATCTGAAGTACTTAAGCTAAATAATGACACTGTTGTCTTTTAGAGCTGCTTTACAGCAGAATTACAGCTAGGTCCCCATAGC